ACGGGCCTGGATTGTTTGTATTTGGGCTTGTAATAATTATTTAATAATAATATAATATATATAATATAATAATAATATTTAATAATAATAATAATAATAATTTAATAATAATTTAAGTAAAATAAAAAATTGGTGTTTACAAGATGCGATTTAAAAAAATAGTTGATTGATCAAAACAGAATCAATTTGAGCGACAAAATACAAAATGTACCCATTTTTAAAATATAACGCATCATTATCTTTGTGGCTTCATTTTCAAAGGTGAGTCATCATCGATAATCAACCTGGTTTGCCCCACTTCTCACCGAAAATTGATTTTCATGTATATCGGTTCTCATTGGCTGCCATTTTAATTTGTGTTGGACAGAGAATTGAAGAGATGTTTTTTCTTCATCTAAGCATCTGTAATTCTCTCTCAATGTACAGGTCGGATAATTTTGGGTATTATGAGTCAAATTCGAAATAACATATGGGATCTTAATTGAAACAATTTTCAAGATTTGCTGTCATTTTCATACGCAATTAAATCCATGTTTTCTGCCTTAATCTCCGTTTCTTAAACTCTCCCATCACTCCCCAACTCATTAATTCTCATATCGATTTATAATTTTTTTATCCTTTTCAATATAGATTAAACTATAGTCATATATATCATTATCATACATGTGTGGAATTTAATGTTAGGGTAGATGCCATGTTACATCTTTAGATCCTTTTGAAAGGTAAAAAAAGATCCCAACATCCAGTCCAACACCATTGGCACTTATGTTGAATTTAATGCGACAAATTTATTGGACCAAAATCGGATTTGTCTTCATATTCTCAATTATGGTGACTACCTTACCTCTTCAATCTACCACAAACCTTCATTTCACTAGCTTTAGCTTTATCAATAATTAAACATGAATTTAGTTAATATTATTATCATTATCGTGACATTCAAAGAAAATATAAAATATTTATGATATAACAATATATGAATAATTCATAGCTTGTTTAAAATAATTGTTAAAATATGGTGAATAATAATGATGCCTCAAATCACGTAGCATATAACTATCTTTAAATTCCGTTCATAATTTCATTTTGGGTTTTGAGAGAAAAGTAAAACAAACTAAATATTATCTTTAGAGTAATGTTTTAGATTTAATCACAAATCAGTCCCTCGTTGAAATATAAATTGGATGAAAAAGGAAAAGGACGGAACTTCGGAGGATTGTCTGTTCCAAGTTCAGAGTTAGCAGACAAAACTTGAAAAAGCATATGGGTCCCACTTGGACCAGAATATCTCGGTTGACTTTTTTGCTAATCTGCTTTCGCCGGGGTGCCCCTTTTAAACGTTTTCCTCCCCACCTTCTCACGGTGCTCGTGATTCCCACGTGCACGTTCATGTTAACCACGCGCGCACAACCATCGGGAGAGTGAAATTGAAGCGAGTGATGCGGGGGAGAGAACCGTCTGCTCTTTTGTATATGATTTGCATTTGCATGCAAAGGGAGTGGGACCCCTTCCGCCCGTCTGAATGCGGAAACTGCTCCGACAAGGGTTTCCCGCCAAATTAGAAAACACGACAAAATTGTAGTATTATTTTTTTGAAACAACAAAATTGTATTATTAATAGCCTTTCCATACCATATTTTTATTATCCTACACCACTTGCTAAATAATAAGCATGGGTTGAAAATATCCGATCCACTACATAAAAGGATCGATCTTTTCTCATAAATGATTGATCCTTTGACAACAAAAACGATCACTTTCTCGAAGGATCTAACTCTTAATTAAATTTAAGCATTTTAATATTTGATTCAAGTGATTCATAAATTTATTTGATTTTCAATTGTAAATACATAACAAAATTAAAATTATGGTAATTTTAAATTTTCAGAGGATGAGAATGCTCTTACCCGTCCCCTCGATCCATCCCTGGTACAACCCTAAATTTGAGTTCGAATTTAAAAATGAAGTTAATTGTTTTCACGCATTGAATTCAATGGTATTTATGAAAAGAAAAAAGAAAAAAAAGTTGTTACAATGGGTTCTAAACAATAATATAAAAAAAAATAAAATTTTAAAATTTTTATAGTCGATTATTTTATATTATATTTTAATATTATTATTCAGAATATTTATCAATTAATAATGTGTACACACTATAAACGCAATTATTCAAACTTAAAACTTTTAAAAAATAATATTCTCTTTAATCACTGAAATTATTAGATGGTTTCATTATTTTATATTAATTAAGTTAACAACATCTCTTCCGTGGTTAATATTAACAATGATAAATAAAGAGATTTCGTGAAAAAATAGATTATTCTAAATTTGAAATTATCAATCTCAATAATTAAATTAGTTAGTTTAACTATTATAAAGTGTGAAAAATAAAAAAAAATTATGAATTAATGGATCCTAACTCTATATTATATATAATATATATATGGGTAAAATGCACAAATGGTCCCTGATTATAGGATGATATTTTATTAAGTCTTCCGATTATTAAAGTTATAAAAATCATTCGAATATAGGATATTGTTTGTTGAATCCCTCTACTATTAAAAGTTACTGTCGTAACCGTCTTTCGGTTTGGGCCCTGGAATTGGGCTTCGACGTGTATTAAATGAATTGGAGTCGCCACCGACCATGTTAAAACGAATTTAGGTGGGTCGGACACCATCTTACCTGATCTGCGCTTTTCCAGAAATTTGTCAGGTTCGGGAGTCGGTTACGGTCAAGGAAGGATTAGCACCCTTGAACCGCCCTTCGGTACCAATTAACTTGTCGGTTGTCTTAATTGCGAAAATTAAAATTAAAATTAAAATTAAAAGTATTCGATTCTAATTGTTCACCTTATTGGCTGGAGTTTCTAAAAAATGTAAAAAAATGTTAGATAACAAATAGTAACAAATATTGGATAAATTAAAAGGAAAATGGAATAAGTAAAAAAAGGGTAGAAGAAAAAATATTAAAAAAAAGGAAACAAAAAAAGTAATATATATATATATAAAAGATATAGGTGAAACCGAAGACAAGTAAAGTTAAGTAAAAAATAATGATAAAAAAGAAACACAAAAAATAGAGAAATAAAATAATAACAAATAATAAATAAAATGGTTAAATTTTGAAATAAACGTTAGTGACGAAAATATAAATATTGAAATATGAAGACTCAAATAAAATAGAATGAAACTTAATGAAATGACTGAAATAAAAGTATACAAACATACGGGGACCAACGCCATTACCCCTAAAATCTCGAAACACGGGTACATGTTGGGCAAAAACTGCGTCGTTTCAATTCCAATTATATATTTGCATTATAAAGGCCAAATGGCCCAACCTGCTTCATTTTCCTCCTCACTCAAAATTGAAAGGAGAGAGTGTGAGAACTCTCTCCCCTTTCTCCTTCTTTGGCCGAATTCAGGCCACCGCCCAGTGGTATCGTCGCACCGCCGCCTCTTCGGCCGCCGCTCGTATCCTCTTCTTTGGCGGTGTGCCATACGAATTGTTCGTGGACCCACCTCGGTACATATCGTAAGGAGTTGCGGATGAATGTCTCCCCATTATGACATTAAAATCATTACACATTACTGTAGTTGGGCTGTCAACTTGATCAACTTGTTCAGCCAACCCATAGTGGGAGTTTAATTATTGACCCCGAACATCAAGCACTTGAACAAAATATGCATACATCTCAATAGCGGCGTCTGAATTACTTTGAGCTTCAACCATCATTTCAACATCATCATTGTTCGAACGTTGTATAAGTTAATGGCAACAATGATGGAAATTTGTACTGCAACAACGACATTCTTCTATTACTTCCACATGAATCTTCCTCGAATCTTCGTTATCAGCTCCTCAAGAGTTATGTTTTTCTTAAATGATATTTTAACACGCTCATTTGATATGAAAACAACGCCGGTTTCATCTTCTCGAATTTCACCATCATAATAACAATAGCTGAAGTCGCGCATTCTTTGAGTTTAAAGTGCGATAATATTATATTTGCAAAAAAAAATAACTGAAACAAACTAATTAAATAAATTATATGAACGAAAATATACACAATAAATTTTTACACATCAACGTAAATAATTTAAAATATAATTTTATATTATTACATGCACCGTAAAACTATTTCGACGTATACTCTCGCTTTTCAATTTTACAAACATAAAAATTAATTGAAAATAATTAGTATAATATTTTTTTCAAATAATCATAATAAATAATAATATAATAAAAAAATATAACAAAATTACCTTATAACGAAAAAACGAACAACTTCTAACTAAATATAAGAAGATTGCCAAAATTATAGACTCATTGACGGAATTGTTGTATTAATTTATAAGTTGAGAGGAGAGATGTGAGGAACATAAGGGGAGAAGGGTATATATAGCCATACAAGGCACGGTACCTGCACCGCGGTATTATGGTATAGCGCAGATCAGGGTCCGTGCTAATATAATTGTCTAGATACACAGATATAACACGGTTCAAGGGGCACGCTATACCCCACGTGACGCCAAATTAACGTATAACGTGGGTTAGACGCGCTTTACTGTTACGGGTGTTAGATCAAAAAATATAATCTGACCAGTATTAGATCGATAATATACCGATCACCGATGATATTTCAAGAAAAACGTCTAAAAAATTCACTGTAAATACATGAAATTATTTTTCAATATATATTTGAGACTCTGTCTCGTTGCATGGTTGAATATTACTGTCAATAAAAAAAACCAAGAGAAACTATTCACAGAAAAATTAATTTTCAAATAAAATTAATTATCGTTTCTTACACGTTTTTCATTTATATATTAATATGCTGTTGGCATATAAATTACAATATCTCGTGTAAAAAGTAAAAAAAATAATTAATTGATTAACAGTATAAACTAATAGTACTTAGTATCTTATTTCTAAAAAAAATCCTTATAAAAACTCTTTATTAAGCTCCATTTCTTCTCCGCTCGTTCCCCAAATTTGTATTTTCCGTACGCTCTCTTACACAGGCTTTAGCAGTGCTGGTTTAAGCCAAATCCCAGTTTTGGGATTGAAGGGATTTTGATTCTTCATTCAAGTTTTCAACTTTTCATACGCAAAACTGACTAGTTTTTTACAACAAACCTTCTGATTTTAGCTACTCAAAGAAAGTTAAGCTGTTCTTATTTGTTTTGTTGAAGGAAAAAAAAAACAAAACTGGGTTTTGGACTCTGGGACGTCGATGATTGGTTTTTGTTGAAGGGAAATGAAAAACTTCACCTTTAAGTCTTTAACTTTGCCTTTTCCTTGAGAAAAAGCTTTTGCTGAAAATTTCTGCGTTTTCCTGATTTGGATCGTGAAGATTAAAAGCTTATCATATTAGGCTTGGGATTCTTCTTTGAGCTTTGTTTTTGGCAATGCAGACTTTATATTCTTGGTGAGTTGGTTAACTCCAAAATTTGTTACCCTTTAGTATCTTTAGTTGTTCTTTCCCTTTAATTCAATACTCTGTTTTTCCATGAAACTGGATTCCTCATTATGGTTGCTTTGTTTTTGTATACTTGAATGTTGCCTTCAAATGATTTGTGTAATCATGGTTTTGCTAAGTAAAATAATCATTGGTTGGTACCATTATACTATTCTTTGGAATTAAACTGATGGAATTAGAAGATTACAACTAGAAATTAGATCTACTTATGGTTCTTTCAGGTATGATTCTTGTTTTTAAATCAATTGGGCCTGTAATAGATCATTCATAAGTTAATTACACACAGAAATGATTATTGTGCTTTCCCCCCTCGAAATCATTTACATGAATTAGTATGTACTCTTTTACTGAAGTTTGATTATTGTGCTTGGCATGGATAATCGATGGTCCTCTCCTGGTTGAGTTTTAGTCTTATGGTATAGTTCTGGTGTATAAACAGACTCTAATTCCATGCATTATTTATTTATTCTCCCAAGCCAAAAAGTTTGATGATAATGTTTTTAATGAAGTTGTTGCTTTCATTATTGAATGGATTTTATAAAAGTATGTCTCTGATACTTGAATGTGATTATCCACTGACCATGGAAGGAATATTCTTCCCCAGTTTATCTTATTTTATAAGCAATGTAATGGAAATGATTAGAGCTCATTTGCATGCTCAAATTGGATGAATTCTACCATGGATGCTTCTCTGACCAAAATGAGTTTCATTGATGGTGAACAACTCAACCGCTGTAGATGATTGACAATTGCCGGATGCCTTTCTCCAATGTCAAAACACGAAACGCAAAGGAACAATCACCATTCTCAATAAGGCCTTAGGCCCTCAAGCCTGCTATTATTGTTTTTTGTTTTGCTCCTGCATTTCTACTGAAGTTTAGGTTTGAAGTGAAGCAAGTTTGAATCATCGGTTTGATTATGCACGTATGGATGATTTTATTTCATATTAGTAACATGGCCATGAATCCTAGTTAACAATTTTAGTTAGATGATCTTCTACTGCTGCATATTCGTGAATATTCTATCGTAATCACGGTCTTCCAGGCTATTTAACATACTTTCTTGGATATCTTTGACCATGCTTTTCATGTAAGTTGGGTTTCGGAGTGTGATTCTTTTTTCTCGTTAAACTAGTGAAGAAGGGATGGAGATCAGAAAGACTATGGAAAACAAAGGGCCCTTGCTCTGTGGACCATAGCAATCTCGCTTCTTTGGCATCGAAAAGGCAGAAGGCCGACTTGTCTTCACCACAAAGGTTTTTTTTAGCCATCTTTACTCCACATTAAATCTCTTCTCAATGATACGTATTACATACATTAATTTCTTCACTATGTACTAAACTAAGTGCTATATGCCGTTTGTTTCTAATATTAGTATTATCTTAGTTTACTCTTTCTGGCAATAGGATAGAAAGAGAAGTTTGGCGAAGGCATTGTCGCTCTGCAGCTTGTTTCACCATACGAAAGGTAAAATTTTCAATTAATTATTTACATCAGAGTAGCATTTATTTATGTCTTTAATGACGGAAGTTGTCTATCCTGTTATAATTTTGAAGCCGATCTGGTTCATTGCAGACGGACACAGCTTCTGTCCTCTTGGAGGCAATGGAATACATACAATTTCTTCACGAACAAGTTAAAGTTGGTTTCCGTTTCTACCGTACTTAATTATCCTCGCAATTTACGTTTCGGTATGTTAAGAAAATTTCAGGCATAAATGTCATTTTAATTTGAAATTTCTTGGCCTTCTGTGTTTTTTCCCGGTATTTACAGGTGGAGTGCTCCATACCTCCAAACCTCACCTACAATTAATATGCAGGTAAGCATCAAATGGACCGAAGTACTAACAATTATGATATGTAACATGAAACACAATCATAGTTCAGAAGTTATGGCTGCATTTTAACGGGATTTGTCTTTTTGCTTCCAGATTGTAGAGCATTATAGCCTGAGAAACCGAGGTTTATGTCTTGTTCCAATCTCTTGTACTGTCGGAGTTGCTCGGAGCAATGGTGCTGATATTTGGGCTCCCATCAAGACCACATCTCCAAATTTGATTAAGCCATCTCACAATCCAGCATCTCATTTCACGGTAACCGGAAGGCTTCGAAATCCAGTAAATCGGTTTAGTAGGTAACCGACTTATCATCCAAGGCACAAACTATAAAGGAATATGGTTGTAGGCAAATTATTAGTCTTAGATTGGTAGCATTGTGTATCTAAAATGCAGTCCTGCACCTCCTAGTTTTATGTCGGTGCCGGAACGACATGCATTCGATCTATTCGGTTAAAAAAAACTTTGTAACTCTTTAAATTGTATCTATTGATATATTAAGTACTACCCGAGGCAATTAATGCGATTAAGCTATGATTAGTGCAGGGGAGGTGTCCTTTTGAAGTAACCCATGCCTCCCAAAACAGGGGCTAAAGGTGGCATTAATGATCAGGTTTGGCCCCCTGTTGTTGAAAGGTCATTTTGTAATGGCGTTTTCTTTTTATCATCATTGTCCTAATTGTGGACCACCGTCTGCAGCCATTGCCGGGATGCTTCATGTTGGGATAACCGAAAACCCCAAACATTGAAAAAAATAAAACCTATAAAACCAAAATATTTTAGTTTAATTGCATGATTGAGTACCTATATGCTAATCTTTTACATATATATTTTTTATTAAAATCTAATTAATATATATAAAAAGGTAATTTAGAATTGTACAGCACTGCACTACAGCTAATCCGATTTATAATTGTGTTAAGGGGCATGATACATACATTATTCTAGTTTGATCTCTTTTCAGACAGAAAGTCGATAAATAATGACCAACCACAATTTATGAATGACAAAGGCTATCACAAAGAAATCATTCAATCATGCTGAATTAGGTTTTCCTTTCTCTTACAATAACTGGGAATGTGAACAAAAGTCTACGAGCTTGCGGATTTGGGTTGAACTTTCTTCTGCAGGAATTGCAGTATGTGTTCCCGTTTCCAATTGTCGATTCTGCACAAGAATCACAGGAGTAAGAAGGCTCATTGTTTTCACCAAACTGTGAGTAAGAATAATGAAAGCTAAAAAATGGGGAGACTGTTGTTTTCTACGTCTTAAAAAAGGCTTGCTTTTTTGTTGTTGTTGCATGTATGCATATATCTCGAGAATCGACGGAGAAACAGGAGGTTCAAGGTAGAGGAAAAACGTGCTAGGATGTTGAATTTAAGTGCCATACTTTAAATGGTGAGAAAGCCAAAGTAACTGTCAGCATGGATTCCCCTTGGTGAATATTGCATTTCAATCCAACATAAGCTAAGTGCATCAATACAGGGAACCTAACCTTGTAGTTTCCTTATGTTGTCCGTCATCATCCAACATGATCAACTTGGGTGGAGAATTGAAAAGATATTGAATTTTAACCGTCGGGAATTTGTCTTTCTCTTCTTCGATGAATCCAACAATCTCCGGATAGAATACTAGTTTCCTCATGCATACTTCCAGTATTGCGCCTGAATACGTAATCTGCAATTGCACAAATATAGATGCAACTTTAGATATTAGGGAAAAGAGGGGGGGAAACGCAGCATGTGATACCAAATTTAAGAAACAACTTGTATTCCCACTGAAAACAAAAAATGTGATGGAGAACAAGGGAACGACAAATATCAAGAATTTAGCAGCTTTTTTTCAGCAGGCCCATCACATGGTCCGTTTTCCACTTCTTTTGGGGGATAAATACCATTCCCTTTCCCGATAAGAGGAGAAAATGAAAATGAAATGAGCAGACTAAAGGAATGCAGAGTTAAGATCAAGTCCCCATTTTGGGGATTCAATAACAATGTAAGAATCCATTAACACTTTTTCTAAACAGCAACATCCTCCCTTTCACAACTCTCAATCTAATCTGAGAATAAATGATTTCCACCAGCATAAAATTTCGCCGCTGTTCATGCCTAGACTGATAGCTTAGCCATAGGCTCTCGACATGCACCACTCGAACACAAGCTCTGAAGTGGGACGGCCCTCCATTATTGGAATTGGGTCAATATCACTAAACCTTTGCCTAAAGCAAAGAGAAGTAGTTGGGAAGCTGCATTTGTTAGCACCAAATACCAGATTGAATTCCCTTTGGTGTCTTCACAATTTCGCATGGCGTGCACCGAAGAATACACTATACGGATGAGCCGAGCCAACGGGTGATTCGAATAAGAATAGGGTTCATGGGATCGACTGGATTTATGTCATTTTAATCTACGACTCATCACGAACCAAATCATCTCAAAAATAAAAGAATTGTCGTTATTTATAAAGATCACGAGTTCGAACATTAACTCACAAGAGTGATTTAACATTAACATGTGCCAAAAAAAATAATAATCTATGAACCAAAAAAACTAAACTTACACATTTCACAAGTTCCTAGTGCCGATCCCCACCTCCCATATGTGCCATTTTTCTCACCTCGCCTTTAAGTTTCCCCTTTCCCGATAAGAGGAGAAAATGAAATGAAATGAGCAGACTAAAGGAATGCAGAGTTAAGATCAAGTCCCCATTTTGGGGATTCAAACAATGTAAGAATCCATTACACTTTTTCTAAACAGCAACATCCTCCCTTTCACAACTCTCAATCTAATCTGAGAATAAATGATTCCACTAGTGGTATTATAGAACTGAAAATATTATTTTAGAGAAGAAAAATAGAGGATGAAGAGTACAGGGATTTAGTGAACACACATTTGAGGTTGGAAATCTATTAAAGAATAAAATTTGAATCCTACTCCAATACCAATAAAACCCATCTCCAAAGCATATTCATACCTTACTTGTAGAATCATCCGAGCCTTCAGTGCAGCATTTCTTGCAATCAGATATCAACTCTGTCATCAAAACATATAGTTACAGTAAGATTGATGCTGCAATGCATTTTTCAATTGTCTGGTCTTTAGTTGATTCAATATGTAACCATAAACACACCAAAGCAGCTGTATTCGTTAAAATCTCCAGTGTCACTCTTTTTTTCCGTTAATCAATCCATCATAGTTTGCACACAATGATGTTGCCATATCGCACCAGTCTCCCACCTTAACTATTATGCGATGGTTCAGCATACTTGACAATAACACCATAAAACAGTTAATCACAAGGCCTTTCATTTTGTACCAAATGCTCCAAATGGTTCACATATAACCACTGCAGTTAAGATGTTCCCAACTGCATGGGAGGATGACAACCAAATAAGTGTACAGTGCGCTTTTTGGTGCTAAATACAGTTCCTTGCTAACTGAAGAACATCTACATTTTCTTTGGTAAGCCAACCTTGCTCCAGTGAGCAAATACAAACTCTTCTCAGTGACGGAATCGAATAGGAATGTGACAAGACTAACAGATGGAGAACAAACTTTTTCAGCTCCTCCTCTTCATAGCTGCATTTCCATTGAATAACACAAGGTATATCCAATTATACACGGGACACAGATAAAACTTATGCCAATTTAGACCTTTTAAGGCAGTGATGAAAAAGAAGAGAATGGAAATAAACAGAGCAAGTTGAAGAGACTGAAATTTAGTTATAAGTATCACGCCATAACTGTCAAGATAGATAACTAACATGTTTCCCAGTTTTGGTCGCCACTTTGAAACAATTGGTGGAAACAGACGTAAACGGCCATTATAACGATTTAGCACCAATTCACAAACTACCACTGATGTTATATGCAATAAGTATGCAGAAAATGATTTCAAACATACCAAGATGAGTATAAAAAACGAATAAACGCATAGACAGCTCCATGAGGCACTCCAGGGATTTTGATGTATCTCATGCCATGCTTTACTTTCAATATCCGGAGAATATTACCCAGCACAGGTGATGCAATACTCTGGAAAAGGGAAGGAAGAAATTTTAGCTCATAAAGCAGAAATCAAAATACTATGAATTGAAAACATTACATTCCTATAGCTTCAACCTTTCCTCATGTATATGGTGACTAAATTAGAAACGGTATTCTTCCAATTAAAAGGAAACCAATTGAAGCTTGAACACTCAACATTTTTTTATTTTAAAAGTATAAATATTATATGAACAATATATGAACGCATATAAAATATATTAGACATTTTATCAAAAACAAATGTACCGTATTAACAATTTTAAAACTATAAGTATCACGTTGGACGTTGCAATAAAATTATAAATATATAATATGATATTTTTTAAAGTAATATTTAATATGAATCATATGATATTATTGTTTCTTGATAGTAATAGAAAATACTTGGTTTGACAATAAAGGAAAATACGAGAATCGCGGTAAGATGAAAATATTATTATATTTTAATTAATATATTAATGGATAATGAAGTAACGTGATTTAAGGTTGGTCGTGTCTTGATGAGTCAGGAAATATATTAATAATTATATATATATATATGTGGAGTTTTAATTAGAACACCACTCACAAACTTGCAATGAATAAATTATTAATTATATATCGCAATTAGGGGTGTGCAAAACCGGACATCGGATACGATCCAAAATTTCGAATACTTAAATTTGATCCTTATTCATCTGAAAAAACCATATATCCGAAATTCATGTATCCGATTTTTTCGGATTGAATATTCTAATCCGAATAAAATTTTAATTTGAAAAAAATTTAATTTTAAATTTTTAAATTTTGTGATTTAATGTTATATATTCGATACTTCTACTATATTATATATATATAGTTACTACACACAATAAATAATTAAATATACTATAATTTTTATTAAGTGAGAGTTGCTAGTGGCAGGGACGGAGTCAGAACTAAATATTGAAGGGGCCAAAATATTGGACTATTTAAAAATATAAAGACTTATTAGATATTTAAACTCAAAATTTAGCATGAACTAAACGACCTTAGTGATTAAGGGAATTTATCCTTGAGGTCTCGAATTCGAGCACTGCACATGTAGAGGTATGAGCGTTCATTGTCAAATGAGAGTCTTTGTACAATTGTTATTAGACCAAAAATTTTGAGAACACAGGTTATCCTTCTTTAGTTCGGTCGTTAATTGATTAAATATTTAATAAATTCTAATATTTTTTAATTTAAATATTTATTTTTACATGAACCAAAATACTAATAGACTAAAATTATATCGAAATATAAATTTTAACAGGGATCAGACCCCAAGCCCTTACTAAGCTTCGTCCTTGGTTAGTGGGTTACTCTTTATTGGACTAAATGTATCTAAAATTTAAAGACCCAATTTTTTTGATTTTCGGATAACTGAAAGTGGAATTTATCCGATCCGATTATCTAAATAATTTTCGAATATCCGATCTAATATTCATAATTAATAAAATAGATCAATTATATGAATTTTCTGATCAAATCACTGGATCAAATCTTTGCACATCCTACTCGTAATCAGTCGGCTTTGGACTTTAAAGCATACCACTCAAAATTTCTGAGCTCAAATTTGTCACAACCACCTTTCGGGTGACAACGGAATTATGCTTCGACTTGAAAAAAATGTTAGAGCCGCCACACTATGCTGTCACCACAGCTCGTATAAAGCACCGAAGTGCCACGTAGAATTGCACCTAAGTGCCGTGTAGAAATGCACCGAAGTGCCAAATAAATGTCTCTAAGGACCACGTAGAAATTCCTCTAGAACCGTATACATATTCCAAGGACCAAGTATGTGTCTCAAAAGACCTCATATATGTTCCAAAGGATACATATATGTCCCGAAAGACCGCGTAGACCCTCGACTCTTGGTATGCCAACTATACCCCTAGCTCTCATGACACATGTCATGGGCATTATCTTTTATATCCTTTTTCATATTCATATAAACATACATATTCGTATAAGCTCGTAGCTTCATTCACATATACATGTAATCATGTAGTTCATGTAATTCTCATATCACATATACTATCTCTTCGTATATCTAATGTCATGTATCATCTGGTAATCATGTAAACAGTCTCTATCATATAACTTATTTCATGTACTTCCATTATTTCATTTTAGTGTTTTACACAAATCCTATAGTATATACAAAGCATATCAATATCTTTAGTCATGCATACATATAATTAATATAATACATATAATCACATATAGCACATATAATCATAACAAACACATAATCATGTTCATGACTTCATGTATATTACTCTAGGAAATAGACTCATCGCAAGTCTTATTTCCATTTAACAATACATGTCACTAGTATGCACTCACCTGGCCTCCCTAGTCAATTCCAATCTCTTATCTTTCCCCTTGATCGATCTTACTTGTCAATGATTCCGGAACTTGTTTAGGCTTTGAATCTACATAATTATATATTTTAAGGAAATTATCAGATACCTACACCTTGTAATCCGATACTAACAACTTAAACAAACTTAATAAACTAATATTCACTTTTTCCTTTAAGGGTGTACCGATGCACTATAGGCGCATCGGTACCCAAAATAGCTTCAAAATATTCATGCATCGATGCACCTTCAAAATTTGCCTTGGTGCATCGGTACACACTCATAGTGCATCGATATATTCCTGGCATTCGATGTTTCTTCTTTAAAGAGTGCATCGATACACTTTGAATGTGCACCAACACACCTTGCCTAGAAATTACTCTTTAAGCACAATAATTCACTCTTTCATCTTCAAAACTTCATGATTCATCCTCTTTTATATTCCTAACTTACATATATCTGCTTAAACTCATTTATATTCATTTATCTTGTCTTTAACCTTAATATCCTCCTCTTTATTAACTTCAAGAATCATACCAGATTTTCAACATGTTTTAACACTCATCTATCACTTCATATTTCTTAATTTAACCCTTGACAAGTCAAATTCAACTTCAAAGTCTATTAACTCCTTCTATTTCAAAAATTCACTTAAAAACTCATTTTTCTTAATTTCTCATAACTTGTTAATCTTTGAGTTTTAAGCCACCAACGCTTTCCTTAATCTTTCTTAACATCCAAGAATCAAAAAAGCTTTAAAACGAAAGAATTAACCAACTGAAGACCCACTTACCTTATACTAGGCTTCACGGTGGAGAGGAGGAAGAAGAAGACTGAAGAATGCTCTGGAGAATTATCTCATTCCCCACGTGTTTCCCTCATCTTAAAAAGAGAACAAAAATCTTTCTTATCAAATGACCAATTTGCCCTTTTCCTTTAATAATTACTGAAAACTTTCAGGAAATATTTTCAAATAAATCATTGAACTATTCAACTTTTCCATTTTAATAAACAATTCTGAAATTTTACAATTTAGTCACTAACCCTTAGTTTGGGATGTTACAATGTCGGATTCGAGAGTCGGTAACGGTCAAGGAATGATTAGCACCCTTGAATCGCTCTTTCGGTACCATTTTAATTTGTCGGTTGACTTAATTGAGAAAATTAAAATTTAAAATTAAAATTTAAAAACTCGATTCAAATTATTTAAATTTGATTGGTTGAAAGTATCCCTAAAAAGTCAAAAATAATAGATAAGAAATAAGAAATAAATATTAAATAAATCAAAGGGAAAAATTTTAAAAATAAAAATAAAAATATTAAAGGAAAAGAAAAAAATAAAAATAAAATAAAAATATTAAATAAATTAAAGGGAAAAACAAAATAAAAAAATAAAAAATGTTAAATATTAAAAGTATAAAAAAAAATAATAACAACAACAACAAAACCCAATTCCCATATGCAATGGGTAAGGGGGAGGTAGGGTAGTAGGCTGCCCCAACGCCAGGTTGAGAGTAGCTTCCGTGGAAGACCTCCGGCAGTCAGAAAATTAAAAATATAGATAAAATGCAATGCATGTATAAATAAATACATAAATACATAGTTGAACAGTATTCATATGTCATTAATATCATTAATATCACTTGCGCGTCTGTAATGGGAAGTAATCCCTGCCAATAAATCCCTGCGAAAAAATCTTTGCATATAGACAGAAATGTAAGACCCAGATAAATTTAAAAGTGAAGAGAATGGTACACAGAAGTCAACGGTAGCAAGCCCCAGTTCTAAGCCTTCATAAATACCAATAACAGAAACGTAAAAAGTAGAAGTAATGGAAATTACTACAAAGGCATTAAAAGAAGACAGAGATGATACACCCTAAAGATGTGACCCACACTACTCGACTACCCTAGTCTTAAGTCTCCATACTTTCCTATCAGAGGTCATGTCATCAGAAAGGGCTAAATCCATCAAATCAGATCTCAAGCAGTCTTCCCACTTCCGCATTGGTCGTCCTCTCCTTCTAACACCGTCGACTGTAATCGACTCTACCCTCCTGACCGCATCCGACGGTAGTCGCCTAAGGACATGCCAAAACCATTGGTACTAAAAATAATCTGCAAGAGAAAAATAAAAAGTTAGGGGGCCAATTTGCAAAATATAAGAAATGTATACAAGGATAAAATTGAACAAATTGAAAATTCAAAGACAAAATTGAAATATATGACCAAAATGAATTACACATCAAAAATGAGGGACTGGGAAAATAATTTAACTATTGCCTAATTACACTGTGGTTCATCCCCTATAATAGCCCAAAACCGAAAAAACATTTTTACCCAAAACACAAAAAAACTCCCCAACCTCTAAAAAAACTCTCTCACCCAGATTGACCGGCTGAAGGCCGGTCATCCTCCTCGTCCCAGTCTCTGCCGCCCGCCAGCCGTCGCCTCCGATGGCCGAAAAAAGCAAAACTTACCCCTTTCGAAAGACCTCAACCCCAGGAAACTAAAACTGAAACCAAACCCAAATCCCCACAATCGGCGTAGATCTAGTTTTAAACTCTTGGTTTTACCTTTCTCGGCGAACCTTTCGACTTCCGAAGGCTCATTTTCCGAGATG